AAGGTTTTTGTTGGTATGAAAAAGAGAAAGGATAAAAATAAACGAAAATTGTAAACACGCAGGGATGCGATTGCATTTTTGATTCATAGCCTTAAAAAAAGTAAAATAATTGGCCAACGGACGGGCTGCCCGTGTAAAAATGCGTTTTTTGCATGCCGGCACCGGTTTTTTCGACAAATGCTTCCAGTTAAACAAATTAAGACTGACCTCCAGAACTGTCATAAAACACCCCCTCAAAATTCCAGCTTTCTAATTTTCCTCCGAAAGAAACTTCTACCGCCCGTACGTGGGAACCACGCATATCCGGTCTCTGGGTTTGAGCGCATTATGACTTATGTGAATGGAGAATATCCGTTTAAAATTACAGCGTTCTAACTTTTTAGTTCCGTGAGTTAGCAACTTACCCGAAAAAACTTTACGGGCTCGTATGTGGGTACCACACATACTCGGGAGCTTGGTTTGAGCTCATTGAGACTTACGTGGACAGGGTACATCCCCTTAAAATTTCAGCTTTCCGGCTGTTCTGGTTCTCGAGTTAGCGGCTTTCCCGTAAAAAACTTTGGCTGGCTTGTACGTGGGTACCACCCACACCCGAGGGCTTGGTTTGAACTCATTAATACGTACTTGGACGGGAAACATCTCCTTAAAATTTCAGCCTTCTAGCTTTTCAGGTTCCCGAGTTAGCAACTTACCCGAAGAAAACTTTGACGGGCCCGTACGTGGGTGCCACGCGGGTAAGAGGGCCCGTTTTGGAGATTGGGGGCCGTACATGCATGCAGATTAAGCTTCCCAAGTTTTAGCCCTGTAACTTTTTTATGAGTCTCGAGATGAAAATTCGTACAGACGCGCAGCGCACACGCAGACAACCTATCGTCAGTATGCGTTTTCTGCATTGCACAGATACAAAGAACGCATAAAAAATATTATATAATTTTATACAATGAACGCATGAAATATTATACAATTTTATAATTAAAATTACATATTTTGCAACTATCAGCTTGCTTCAAAGCAGCCATTAGGAAAGGAAGCCATCAACAGCCTTGCCAGGGAACAGTAGTTTTCCGAGCTGTTCCGAAACGCCTGACTTCTGACAGGATGGACGGAGTTTTTAGTTTTGGCGTTGGTGTAAAAGTATTGGTAAAATAGAGAAGTAATGGTAAAGTTATGAAATGGGTATGAGCAAGGAAAACGAAAAAGCAGTATCGTTTGCTCTGGGCTAGGATTGGTATGGAATAAAGACGTCGCATCTTCATCTCTTCTCATTCACTGTGTTCAAGTAATGAGCGCTTCTTGCAGGCACATGTCATATTCAAGGAGATCAGTTCGGCGACTAATGCTTTACGTGCAATGCAAGGATTCCCCTTCTACGATAAACCCATGGTTAGTTCGTCCAGGCTCTGAGCAGCCAAATACTTTTAAGGCATCGTTGTACCTAACGAACACCTACATGCTCTGAAATTCTGCTTCCTTTTTTTTACAGCGCATTCAGTTTGCACGGGAAGATTCGGATGTGATTGCTAAAGCGAAAGGAACGTACACGGAACGACCGAAGAAACATCTTCTGGCCAAGCAAACTGCCGGCGGAAAACCGAAGAAGACTTCGCATGCAAAAGAAAGTCATAAAAAGGCATGTTTTTTTTTTCTAAATAGCATAAAATATTATCTCCTCATAGATAACGAGCAGCATCGTTGGAGACGGGGCAGTAATCCTTAGCAATACACACTGATGGCATCTCGGGACGACTGAAGTTTTCGCAAAATGGTTTTTGCCGGGAGAAACGTAGAGCTGCTAGTCCTTTCAAGAATATCATAACCGCTAGCGGTATGACCAGCAGCCGATGAAGTTGTCAGCTGCGCTGAGACGCTATGCACTGCAGCTGATGGAAATCTTAATGTAAATTTGTCCAGCTGCATATTTACAGACTTGTTCAGTTGCTTTAACAATTGCTGCATCGCCCCGTAGTCAGCCTGCTGGCGATCCTGACTTTCCTTTCATGTCCTCAAGTTTGGGATATTAAATCACTGGTGCCATCAGATTCCCTGCGAATTCACCGTTTCTGAACGAATTTCAGAACTTAGAAAATATTAGTATTTCGAGCGGTTCATTTAAAAAAAATTCTCGTCCTGACTTACTACTTTAACATATAAGAATTTGGCAAAATATAGGTTATGTGAATTTGAGTGCCTTTCGGCCTTATTTCTGCGTCTCTTAGCCAATTTAACTAATTCTGGAAGTTAGAGGAAAGGCGCTAGTTTTCAGAATGTCTCTTTTCGGTGATATTAAAAAATCGCTTTGTTGGCTTTTGCACCGGCAAGCTTACTTTGATCTTTAACTCAGTTTGCTGAACTTTTACATCCCACACGTAGTCTTTAGTTCTTTCATAGTTGAAGGAAAGCAAACTAAATGACCAGCTGCCATGACGGCTGGGCACTATTCTTTATCTATTTCTGCTTGCATTCCTGCGAAATAAGTTTTTTTTTTTTTTTTTTTTTTTTTTTTTTT